TCTCTTTCTTTCTTTCTTTCTCTCTCTCTCTTTCTTTCTTTCTCCTCTCTCTCTTTCTTTCTTTCTCTCTCTCTCTTTCTTTCTTTCTCTCTCTCGCCTCTCGCTCTGTTCGTTTCTTTTCTCTTTCTCTCCTCGCCTGCTCTTGATTCTACATTTTTCTGTTCTCGTCTCTCCTATGTTCAGGACTGGACATTTCGTCTAGTGCGCGCCTCCCGACTTTTTCTTTAGGGCCTCGCTCTCCGATTTTTAGTTCTCCTCTCTCTTTCTTTCTCGCTCTCATCTCTTCTTTCTTTTCTTTTCCTGCGCTCTTCAGCGTTCTTTTCGTTCCGCTCTCTCTTTCTTGCTCTCTCTCCGCGGTTCTTTCTTTTTTCTCTCCCCATTCTTTCTCTCCTCTCTTCTCACTCCGCTCCTCTCTCTATGCCTTCTTTCTTTCCACTCTCTACTCTCTCTCCTCTCACCTTCTCTTTCTTGTCCTCTCTCCTCTCTCACTCTCCCCTCTGTCTTCTCTCTCTCTCTCATCTCTCTCTTCTCTTTCCTTTTCTCTCTCTCTCTCTCCTCTTCCCCCTCTTCTTTCTCCTCTCTCTCGGCTCTCTCTCTTGCCCTTCCTCTCTCCTATCTTCTCTCTCCTTCTTCTTTCTCTCGCTCTCCTCCTCTCTCTCTCCCTTCTCTCTTCTTTCTTCTCTCTCTTCTCTCTCTCTCTCGTCCTCTCTCTTTCTTTCTCTCTCTCTCTCTCTCTCTTGATTTTTTCTTTCTCTCCCATCTCTCGCGCTCTCTCTTCTTTCTGTCTCTCTCTCTCTCTCTCGCTCTTTTCTTTCTCTCTCTCATCACTCTCAGTCTCCTCTTTCTTCTCTCTCTCTCCTCTTCTCTCTCTCTCTTTTCTTTCACCTCGCTCAAGCTCTCTCTCCTTCTTTCTCTCTCTCTCTCTCACCCCTGTTCTTTTCTCTCTCTCTCTCTACTCATCTTCCCTCACTTCTTCTTTTTTCTTTCCGCTCTCTCTCTCTCACCTCTCTCTCCCCCCCCCCCTCTCCATCTTTCTTTCTTCTCTCTCTCTCCTCTCATCTCTTTTCTTTCTCTCTCTCTCTCTCTCTCTCTCTTTCTTTTCCTCCCTCCGCTCTCTCTCTCTCCTTTTCTTTCTCTCTCTCTCCTCTCTCCCCTCTCTTACCTTTCTTTCTCTCTCTCTCTTTCTTCTTTCTCTCTCTCCGTCTTTCTTTTCTCTCTCTCATCACTCCCTCTTTCTTTCCTCTCCTCTCTTCACTCTTCTCTCTCCTCTCTCTCTTTCGTTTCTCTCTCCTCTCACTCTCATCTCATCTTTCTTTCTCTCCTCTCTCTCTCTCACTTTTCCATCTTTCTTTCTCTATATAATAGATATATCTATTCAATTTGTTATAGCTATATAATAATATCTTTAGAAGAGAGGGTAAAGTGTAGTATAATTTAGATAGAGAAAGAGATAGATAGTTATGGAGAGAGTATATATATATAGAATATATTTATTTATCGATATATATATATATATATTTTTTATTTTTAATAATATATATATATATTTATTTGTAGTTTATATATATAGATTTATTTAGTGTCTAGATATGCTATATATTTGATTTATTATATATAGCTCTATATTTATTTATACTCATATATAGATCTTTATTTAATTAATGTTATATATACTATATATATATATAGATTTATATTTATATTATATATATATATATATATTTATTGATATCTCTCTATCTCTCTTTATTTATATATATAATCTATAATAGTCTTTATTTAATCTCTACTCTCCTATATTTATTTCTCCTCTCTCTCTCTCTATTATTTACTATATATCTCTCTATTTCTATATATCGATCTCTCCATCTCGCTCCGTTATCTCATGAGATATATATATATATTTATATCTTATATCTCTATATATATCCTTTATTTCTATCTCTAATCATATTTATTTCTCATCTATTATCATATAGTCTTTCTTTCTATCTATATAGGTAATTCTTTAATTTAGATTTATATATATATACTAGTTTTCTCTTTATATATCTAATATATATATTTTTCTTACTATATATATTTAATATTTTCTTTCTCTATATATATCTATTTATTTATATAGAAATATAGATTTTTTAGTTCTCTATATATATATCTTTACTGTATATTTGATATAGATATATCTAGAATATTTTATTTTTCTCTATAAATATAGATTTATGTATATATAATGAGCTCTCGTTTATTTCTACCTCTCTCTCTATAGTTCTACTATATAAAATACATACTCTCTCCAGCTATCGTCACTATATCTAAATCATAATCTCTTTATATCTATTCTAGATATATATATACAACAAGTTTAAATATATCCTCATATATAAATCAATATATATAGATATTTTATATCGCTCTATCTTTCTTTATTTCTATATCATTGAAGTTAGATATATATATATATTTCTTTCTTCTCTTCTCTTTCTTTTCTCTCTCATCT